CGATACCCCATGCCCAAAATACACTTCTTAACCCGAAAATTCTACACAGTTTAATCTCCTCTCATTACTTTAAACTCAACTATACTTACTCAAACCATCTTATATCACTTTATAACATCTAAACATTCAATATATCATCATAATTATTGAAACCAAGAATCTTACTAAATTTCCAACATGTTCTAGTTCCATTTCTAACACTTTAGATTTCTTATTTTAGCTCATTACAAGTCAATTTTAGCCTCAAAATTAATTTACAACCTCTCTATTAACAATTCACTTAAAAACTCTTCACATTTAATCCTTCATCAAATAACCATTATACCCTTTCCATTTCCAAATTTTACTACTAAATCCAACACCAAAATTCTCCAATTAAGTCCTTGAATTTATCAATTTTTTTGAATTTAGACACCAAGTTTCAAAAACTTACGTTTTTGTCACTATTCTGAATTTATCAATTTTTGGGATGTTACATGTATATTTATGTTATTAGTTTGCTTTATCGATTTTCTTTTAAAATGGTCTGTAATAGTACATTAAGACTATTTTATTTTGGCTAGACTAGAAATATATATATATATATATATACACACACATGTATATTGTGAATGAGTAGAATACATATATTATTAGGTTTTAAATAGTTAAAAAAAGTTTAGCAGAGTTTAAGCAGTTTTAAATATTTTATTAAACAACATTAACTTGCCTAATTACTGCCAAAATTCAAATTTGTTTTCAATGATTAAATATTGTTTTCTGATGATATACAATTGAAAGAAAAGTTTGAAAATTAAAATAGAAAGATTTTAGAGAAAAAAAAATAAGCATTTATGTTCGGTGAATGTCTGTCAAGTTAATGTGAGTCTTTAACTATAATTTCAAGACGTATACGGGCTATGGGTGTTACAGTTGATATATGAGTATCTAGAGCTATAAACTCAGATATTAAGACATTAGGTTTATCTTGTATTTCTGTTAAATATTTTTTTGAAAAATTTTAAAATATTCATAAGGCGTAAATATTAGTTATATCGAGTTTATTTAATATTTTCTTTTGTTGCATGTTTTTGGGGTGTGATTCAACTCAACTTTGAATATAATTTAATTGGCAATTACAAGTTATAGTTTTAGTTCTAAAGACTATCAACCATTTGATAATAAACACTCATTAACCACTGAAATAGTTTAGTTCGTGCTAAATATATATAATAGTTGGAAAAAAGAAAGGAAAATATTTTTTAGTATTTAAATTTTACTTTAAAAATTAAATTTTGACATATATATATATATATATATATAATGGGTACTTGAATTTTTTTAATATTTTAATTCATACTTACGTTTTATGTATGAATCGATACTTAAACTTGATTTCTTGCATATATTTGATATCCAAATTGACTTAAATGCCATTAGTTGAACGTGTCAAAATGCAGACAAATTGTTTCAAAAAAACAAAAACCAAAATGCAGACAAAGCTCAAGTTCATGTATTAAAATGTGTGGTTGAAATCAAGTTCAAATTTTAATTTAGACAAAAAATATAAATATCAATTTGAAATATAAAAAGGTTGAGGCAACAGTTTAAAAAAGTAAGTACTAAATTAAGTATTGAAATCAAATTCTAATAAAAATATATTTACTTAAGAAAGAAAGGATTTGCACCTATTGCTCACTAAACTCATAGGTTGAATGTTATTGTAACGCCCCGAATTTCGGGTTAATAGATTTGGGTTACCCGAGATAGGCTAGATAAGCCCAATTTCCTTGTAGGAGATCTTGATCCATTAAAATATTAAGTTGGGCATTAGTTTGGGGCCCATTGAGAGTATAAAGGGCCATTCTAATTAATGAGATAATGAGAGAGAACTAAAAGAGTGATTTACCCTTTGTTTGAGAACAAGAGCTGATCACCCATTAATTTGGGTGATCTCACGTTGGTACCCATTCCCCTTTAGCCTTCACTAACTTTGTCCCCTATCTTCTCCTTCGTCATTTTTCTTTCATCTTCAAGAATTTTTGTCAAAGATCAAAACTTGGTGGTGCTACAAGCTTAGTTTGGATTTATATAGGTAATACTATTCATCTCCACCTTTCAAGCTTTCATTTAAGCCCCTAAGATCAAGCTTTGACCATAGAAACAAAAAATGCATTTTAGTGGGGATTTAAGAGACCAAGTGATTCCAACTCGTTTTTAGTGGATTTGAGTTTTAAGAATTGTCCTTAACTTCAATCCAAGATTTTATATGAGTTAGTAACACATTTTCTTGCCTTTGATTAGTGAAAGAAGTGGGAGAGAGCTCCAAGGCTAGAGGGAAGGAGAAATTGACCCTTGGATGATTTGGGGGCATTCTCAATAGCTAGGAGATTAAGGTAATACATTCACAACTATTTCATACCATTTGTGAGTCATTAGAATGCATTTTAGCTAGAGAGTAGAACTGTGAAGCATAAATGAGCATCCATGGTAGATTTTATGTTTTGGTGTTTTTAACATGTTTTAAAGGTCTTTTTATGATCTTTTAATCATACATAAGATGTTATAATATTTGGGGACCTCAGTAGGACACTTGGGGTAGATTAGAAAGTGATTTTCGTGCCCAAACAAGGTATTTATGGGTTTGGGTATCGGTACTGGAAGAATAATATCGATACCATTCTTACGAGGGGCAAAAAGAATGGGGTTTAGGTTAGAAGTATCGATACTCTTTCATTGAGTATCGATTTGTAGGTTTAGTTTTGAAACTCTTAGGAGGGGTATCGAGACCGAGGTTCCAATGTGCAATTTTGGTATCGGTATTCATGGGAGTATCGATACCAAGGGTAGAGTATCAATACTCCTATAGAGTATCGATATTGAGGTATTTTTCAAAACATCGAAGCAAAATTTGGTATCGATTCTCTGGAAATATTGATACCTTAGTATCAGAGTATCGATATGGTCCAATAGTATCAATATTGCCCTTCCACATTAGCTTTAAAATTTGTCGTTAGTATCGATACCCAAGGGTGAGAATTGATATTTAAGGGTCGGTAATGATAATAAGGGGTTCAGTATCGATCTATGCACACTTTATTGGACAAGAAGTCCAAGAAAATCAGAAGAAGTATTGAGGGACCTGAAAGCACTCAAATTATTCTCAAATAAAACTACAAGCGAGAAAAATTTGAAATTAATTACAATTAGAAACAAGATAGTCTAGGATGACATAAACTAGCCTTAATTGAGGATTGGAAAATAATCAAGACATCGAGTTACTTTAGTAGATGATGATTCGAGAAATAAAAAGTCCAGATATCCTTGGTAGTGCGCGAGGCACTTTAATGACTAACTAAGGCGCGAGGCCTGAACACTCGTGAGGGGTGGGTTAGTCGGGTGTGAGTCTGATGTGGAGATTCCAGGCCTCATCATAGATAGACTAGAGGGGTGTGCATTCTGAGATATGTAACCCTCCAACCACACCATGATGTCTACTCTAAAGCAAAGTGTAGTATACGAGTATACTCAATATCATTATTACACTCTATAACATGAACACTTTTAGTATGGTTGTTAGTGTGGCACTGGTCTAGTGAGTTCAGCGTTTGGAATTCGTTTCCGTGCGTATGTATCTAGGAGGAGCGTTCGAGGAGCTTATCGTACAACAAACATCCCAGACTGATTGAGCAGTCGAGTATGTCTTGAGTCTTATTTCTTAGAGGGCATGTATTAGTCATAAATCTTCATTTACTTGAGTCGTAACTTTATTTTGTAATACTTGATTGTATTATTTTGATATACTTATTTTGGAGCTCCCTGATGTAAACCCTATATATATTATGTTTAATTTAATTCAATTTGAATGATTTTAAATTGAGAATTTATTAAATATTTAAAGAAAGTTTTGGTTAACCACTCTGCTGGTCCCGTGTGACATTTTAATCGGTCGATTTTGTGTCGTATCGAATTAGGATGTTAGAATTATTTATTGATAAAAAGTGTAAACCGTTTCATTTGTACAAATTTTATGGATTTTGGTCATTAAATTATTAAAAAAATAATTTTTCATTGAAATTTTCAATTAAAAATTTCAGTTATTGTACGGTTAAATCACTAACAATCATATACCATAGTGTGTTGGCATGGAAGCAAAAAATATTATTTATTTATTTATTGATGTATTATTATTATTATTATTATTTTATCATCCTCTACATAAAAAAATTATGATTTTTTCAACTATTTTATGTCATTTTTAGTATATTTTATGATCATTCGAGCTCTCATCTTTTATCTTCTTATCAATTTAGATTTTTTTTAAAAAAATTCTTTAAAACTCACGAGATTAAACATATATATTCATCATTTTTCGATGGTTCTAAGTTTTTTTCGGATTTGAAATTTTAGGATGTTCGTTTGAAAATCCAAACAAAGAGAAACATTCTTTCAAAAAGATAGACAACATATCTCGAAAGTAGCATAATCACACATTTGTCGATGGATAAATATTAGAAGGCTGAATCTTTAGACGATATTTTATCAATTTACCAATCAAACAAATAAAAAAGAGAATAATATGTGAACTTTCAGCACTGATATTATCGCAAATAATTATCGATCAATAATGATTGTTGGATGAATCAATTGCTTTTTGCAAAAAGGGAAAAAAGATAATGTCCATATAATTTCTTCGTCAATGAATTAATGATCATGTAACAACAAATTAATTTAAAAAAGTTTAATGGTAAAATTGAATTTTTTTATAGTTGAGTGATCAAAACAAAATTTTACATGAAGTTTAATGACTAACAGAGTAGCTTATCCCAATAAAAAATGTTTTATCTTCTATCCCTTCAAATTAGTTAGGAAAATTTAGTAAATGATAATATATATAATTATAATAATATTTTAATTTTAAAAATCTAAAAATCAGCATGAAAATATTTTTTAATATTTTAATACTCTTTTAATTTAAATGGGCCGGAATGAAGTTTGAATACACAAGCTCGGGTCGTGGGTCATGGTTTGGACGCCATAGGCAAAAGGTCGGTTAAATTAACAGATCTCATCTCTTCGAGTTAGGGTTTAGTGCTTATCGTCTTCCATTCAATTGCTTTGATATTTTCCCCAATTCATAATCGCTCTCAAGAATTTTTAGTGGTACGTTTCTCAATCCTTCATCCTTTATTTCGAATCATATTATATTGAATCTATCTACTGGTTCTCTTTACTTTCCTTATTGAATTTCGACTGTTCCGATTCTGCCCCATGACATCCCTTTTGTGAACTAAAACTATTTTTTTGAAAGGATTTGCTTTTTCGATTGTACTTGCTATCGTTTTGAGGTTTAATTAGCGATTAATATGCATTAATTCCGATTAATTTTACCATCCCGCTTAATTTTATCAGACATGGCTGTCGCATCTGGATTAACGACGAGGGTTTGTTTTTATCTAATATTAGAAATCATGATGGGTTTTCTGGTTCTTATTCTGATTTTCTTTTTGTGTGTGTTCTTTCTTAAAATTTGATGATGTTAATTTTGGGCGGAATAGGGTTATGATTTAAGACTGTTTGTGTGGGTTATTCTTGTGTTGACAGTGTGGGGGGTTTCGCCATGGAGATACAGACATGTGGTAAGCCGATTGATTCGTTGTTGGAGAAGGTGCTTTGTATGAATATACTATCATCTGATTATTTCAAAGAGCTTTACCGATTAAAGACTTACCATGAAGTTATTGATGAAATTTACAATCAAGTTGATCATGTTGAGCCATGGATGTCCGGGAACTGTCGTGGTCCTTCTACTGCATTCTGCCTTCTTTACAAGTTTTTCACCATGAAACTTACTGTCAAGCAAATGCATGGGCTACTGAAGCACCCTGATTCTCCTTACATTAGAGCAGTACGTTGAATCTTTCATGTTTATATTCTCAATTTTTTTCCAACCATGTGGAAATCTTTTTTTCTCACAGAGGATAGATAGCTGTTTCACTGTTACTTTGCATTTCTTCATGTATTTTGATCGTCGATGTATAATGCTGCTGAACCTTCTTACTTTCATTAATCGAAACTTGCAATCGTTATCAACTTATAGTTCATTGGTATTGTTGAGGACCTGACTTCCTTCATTTAGTTGTAATGATTGTTGTTTGTATTTTTGAACATTTTAGATGTTAAAAGCCCATTTCAGTAGAATGGCCTGCCTGTCTGACCAAGCTTGTCTTATTTTAGTTGTATTTGTATAAAAAAATATGTAAGCATTATAATATTATTGTTTTATTTAGAAAATAGCTACAAACAAGGTTGAGATATGATTGTTTCTTTGAAGAACTGAGAGTTTGCCCCATGCTATTATAATTGCACCTTGCTATGCTTATGAGATGCCTGCCATATCAGATGTTTGATGAGCCCCATTTTTCCTTGGTTACTGAGATTTTCTCAGTGCTATATTTTCTATAATGATTGATCAACATTCTATGAATAGGAACTTCATTATTGCTGCTTTGAAGATTGAATATTATGTAGATTTGCAAATTCTCTCGCATATACTCTATTTTGTCTCTCAAAAAAATATAAACAGAGGCTGATTTTTTATACCTTCCTTTCTGTATATTATTGGTTTATCAGATATTCTCATTCAAGGTTCTGTTAAATAATGCGTCAGTATCACATATTCTAGCTATGCTATTTTTCTCTTATTGCATGGACTATTCCTACATTTTAACAATTGCCTTACTACACTAAATCAGATTCCTTTCTATCTGGTTTCTTGAAATTATTCATGAAAATTCATGTTATTTTCTTGCTTCTTGTTATAGTTTTATTCTTCTCATTTTCCGGTCCTTTCACAGTTTTAATTTATATATAGCAGTCTATGGTTGGTATTATGCTTTTAGCTCTTAACGATATAATAAATGGCTTAAAAATATGGTTGCAGATTGGATTCCTCTACTTGAGGTATGCTGGCGATCCAAAGATTTTATGGACTTGGTTTGAGCCATACATTAAAGATGAAGAGGTACTTGTTGTTTTGGCTGCTAAATTGTTGTGTTACCTTGAATTTGTAGCGTGGTAAAATCTGCATAAATACTATATCTTTTACTTTAATGGTATGCGTCGTGGAAATTTTAATTTTTGTACAGGTTAGAAAATTTCTATTTCCCTCAATTTTTTGTTCCCATCAAGTTTTTTTTCCTAAGCATCATATCTTTCTATTAGTAATGGTTGATATTTGATGTTAAGTTACTCTATAAATGACTTTAGGTCCATTTTGCTCTAGATTTACAGATTGTAGTATGCTGAACTATTTTCCTTCATTCATTGGTTTAAGTGTCATCATGTCTTGTAATTTGTTTAATGAGCGGTGTATCTCATGGCTAACTATTACCTTCACATTCACACCTTTCCTGCAGCAACTAAGAATAGGTTGACTAGTTAATGCAGCTAAGCTTGGGCTTTAATGGGTAGATTAAACCAAGCTATCTCTAGTTTGTCATAATTTCCTGTTTTGTAACTCATAACTTCTATGCTCTTTATTTGCAAGCATTTGGCTAGAAATATATTTTTCTTTCTTTCTGCCCCCAATTTTAGCATGCAAACCTTGTTTCTGTTTTGGGTTTTACTCTAATGACAGTAAACCGAAGGTTAAAAAATCCACATAAAACTTTTTAAGACTGACTATTCAATTTTAACCTCCCTTTATTTTAGCATATATGAAACTTTGTTTATGTTTTAAGCGCAAGTTGAAATCATCACATCTTATTTCAGGAATTCTCCCCTGGCTCTAGTGGACGAACGACCACCATGGGGGTATACGTGCGAGATTTGCTTCTTGGCCAGGTTAGAGCAAGTATTCAACATGCTTTGTTATACAAATAATGTTTTCCCTGTTTTTCACATGTCAACTTGAAACACCTTTTATTGAGAAATGGTCAACCTTTTAATGATATTTTGATCAATTTAAATTTTGTAAGCATATCATGCAGAAAGGAATTGTTTTTTGGGCTCATTAAAATCTGCCTCTAATTTATGATAACTTCTCTCTTGGTAAAGACATGTTCTACAGTTTATGTTTGTGATCCCCCATAATAAACCAACCAGATATTGCATTTAATGTTATTCTTCTATCTGCAGGTATTAAAAATAATAAAAATGTTTTTACCCTTTCTCGGTTCTAAATCTTTTGGAATATACCTACTTAATATGACATGCATATCTGAGAAATTCCTTATCTATTGTGGATGAGTTGGTCAAAGTTTTTCTGGACAGTTTGTTAGTGGCTCAAATGGAATGTTATTTATGGGAGTTTGTAACTTATTACTAAAGTTAAGAGTAGCAATTCAGACAGTATCAAGTAGCATTCCGTGTTAGCTCTACCAAAATTTGTGCAAAAACCATTTGAAGTCTATTTAACAGTTGTAGAAGAAATTCTTCGAAAAGAAGTAGTGCAGAACTTGATTAATCTAATTAGTATTTTCCTGATTGATCCTGTAATGAAGAATGTAAATGCAAGATAGCCTTTATGCTATTTGCATTCATGATTGGCAACGAATTTCTGGACAACCAGAATTTCTCTCTTGCTGCTATTGTATGTTCGAAGAAGGTACTATTCTCAGTCAGCCCCTCAATGTAACCTTTTATCTGTTTTTTCCTTTTATATGTTTTTTTCCTTTTTTTTTGTCTTTTGCTTTTTTATTTTCAATGCATTTCATTGGTTTGCAGCGGCAGTGCAGGCCGAATGCATGCTTCTTTGACTCTTTCTGGATTGGAACTTGAAGCTCAGCCTAGAACTTCCTTCTGTATAGGGTCTGATACTTAACAGAAAGTCATCATATAGATCGTTACTATATAAGTGTACTATTGTAAGCTCGGTATTCTTAGAGTTTGTTTTCCTTGGTTGAGTTGAATGCCAGGTTATTCGTCTGTCTTCTGGTCATGTCTTGATTTTTATGTCAAAGATAAACTAGATTTGTCGATTGCTTCTTTGACTTCTTTTGGGCTTGTCGTGTTTTTCTTCTAGTTTTGTTTGTTTTCGTAGGGGAATAAAGGTTGACGGTGATTTTCTTGTTGCAGTACTACTTTGATACTCTTTTCCCTCGAATCCCTGTTCCCGTGTTGCGTCAGGTTGTATCCAATCTTGAGAAGATGAAGCTGCCTACAAAAATTTCTGGTTCAACCGGAGATAATAGTCGTCATGGATCTGATGACACTGCTCGCCGGCCGCCTTCTGTAAAAGCTGCACTTTCGGTCTCTTTTGGTCAGCGTGCCCCCCATCGGGCATCAACCAGGGACTCTTCTCCCGTGCGTCGCACTCTACCACCACCACCTTATGACAGATCCAATGGTGATGATGTTAGAAGATCTCCCAGCCACCGTCGCAGCCAAAGCCGTGATAGGGAATTTTCTGACGAAAAGGATAGGGAAAGGGAAAGAGAGAGGGGCAGGGACCAAGGCCGGAGTCGGGATCGTGACCATGATAGACAACGAGATAGAAGCAGGGGCCGAGATCGTGACTGTGATCGTAATAGAGAAAGGGACAGGGATGGGGAACAAAGGCATGATTATGATCGAAGGTCAAGGTACACGGATAAACGGGATATTGATGACAGTAGACGTTGCAGGAGCAGAAGCCGGGACATCGATGACAGTAGGCGTTACAGGAGCAGAAGCCGGGACATTGATGACAGTGGGCGTTACAGGAGCAGAAGCCGGGACATCGATGAGAGTAGGCGTTACAGGAGCACAAACCGAAGTCCCAGCATGAGCGGAAACAGGAGCAGAAGTCAGAGTGAGCAAGGCGGCACCAGTCACTATGATCCACCACAAAAGGAGGGAAGCAAGGCATCCAGTAACTTGGCGAAGCTGAAGGATCTTTACGGTGACACAAAGGGAGATGCCGGCGGTGGCTATGAAAGGGCAGCAAACAGGGACAGCAGTGGAGAAGAGGTGATTAGACTAGGTGGTTCTTCTTGGAGGTAGTGCATTTGCATGCATGCACCAAACCAATTCAGCCCCCCAAAAAACACATTTTGTTTCTGGACATTGTGCTATGCCTTGGCTAGGATGGATGGAGTGATGGTCTCGTCATTACTTGACGAGTGGCATATCATGTATACTATTGTTTCAGTAATTTGTTAAATTTGAATATTACGGGGAGATGGACTGCTCCGAAGCAGCTCTTTCAATTTCCTTGTCTGCAAGTGCACATAGTTTGAAACTCTGGATTATAAACATAATTACCTATTGCAGGCCACTAATAACCAACTGAAAATATAACCCCATGAGAGAAGATCTCAATCAACGATTGGGGCATCTTGCTCCAGTGAAAAGCTTCAAACCACTAATCAGTTTTAAGAGTGGGCTAATCCTTGTTCATAACTTTTTTACCCGATTAATAATGCACGCATATCTTATAGACGTAGTTGCTCGAACTCAGAATCTCTAGGAAGAACATATTTTTTAATTACCAAGATTATTCGATGGATTCTAATCACTCGTATTAAATTGTAGTATATAACATAACATTATATAATATAATAATACACATAATATTATAGAATACATACCATTGATTATTGTACGCAATTTCTTTCCATCAATAATTGTATAATTAAATGGAATTGATCAACACTCGTAAATTAAGTTTAATAAGCTTGATAACATTGAAGTCGCTAAGTTCGTAATATTTAAAAACTCGTAAAAGTAAACATTTGTATCAAAGAAACTCTTTATAATATTTAATTTCTTACTAATTAAATTATTAACCCTATAAATAAATAATAACGATTAAAATTATTGGTTAACCTCAAAATTTATCCTCTAAAATAAAATCTTATGTCCGATCGTGATTTCATCGTTATGCAACCAACCACCGTGAGTATTTAGCAGTGTCCAGTGAGCAAATCCCCCGTTCTTCCAGTAATGTTGAGAAGTACCTAACAGGCACCAAACTTTTGTGTCTTAAAATCATCTGAGTTGGCCAACTGCTATAACCAAAGAGACCCTGATTTTGTTACACCCTTTATATATTTTTTAGAGGTTTTGGAATTAATCACCTAATTTGTTCAAACTTGGAGAAATGGACATGACTAAAAAATTATCCAAACTGCCAGTAAACCTGCTATAAATCCGAGCCGACAAACAACGAATTCCGAAACATCCGAAAAAAAGATCAGTTCAGTGAGTAAAATGGGCCAACAATGGCTGGTTTTTCCAGTAGTAGCAATTGTTTTGGTGTTAGAAGCTTTAGTTTCAGCTGGAGCTAATGCGTCAATGGTCACATTTGTCTATGGTGATTCATTAGCAGAAGTTGGAAACAACAACCATCTCCAGTATTCTTTGGCCAGGTCCGATTATCCGTGGAACGGCATTGGTTTTACCGGCAGGAAAGCTACGAGACGGTTCACCAACGGACTAAATGACATGGTTTTGTTGAATTTTGTAGCTAAAAAGCTTGGGATTTCATCACCACCACCTTACCTTTCTTTGTCACAAAATGATGATTCTATTCTCCAAGGGGCTAATTATGCTTCTGGTGGAGCTGGAATTCTCGATTAAACCGGCCAATATTTCACAATTTCTTGCCCTTTTTTTTCGTTGACGCGTCTTGTTTATGTTGTTCTGGGATTGATTTTGTTTTCTGTGTTTGCATATTCGGAGATTGACATTTGATGATCAGATAAGTTGCTTTTAAAAGACCAAGGAAAGCATCAGGGAAGCAGCTGCTAACAAGCTTTGCAATGAGGCCACCTACTTCGTCGGAATCGGTAAAGCTTCGCCTTTCTTCTAATTTTTCGAACCGAATAGGATGCCTTTTAACACACTTGATTTTGTTTGATGTTTATGCAGGCAGTAATGACTATGTGAACAACTTCTTGCAGCCCTTTCTAGCAGATGGACAACAGTATACGCACGACGAATTTGTCGAACTCTTGACTTCGACTTTGGATCAACAGTTTTCGGTATAAGTAGTCCTTTCGTTATTATCCACGTCTTTTGTTTTGTACGAAACATAACCGGCAACGGGGCTGAATGACAGAGGCTGTACCAGCTCGGAGCACGTTAGAGACTGTACCATGGACTAGGGCCATTAGGCTGCATTCCTTCTCGGAGAGTGAAATCGAAAACAAGGCAATGCTTGAAGAGAGTGAATGAATGGGTGATGCCTACACTAAATAAATGCCTCCCGAATACACAGATGACATTTGCCGATACATATCCGGCTGTTCTCGATTTGATCAGCAACCCCAAGGCCTATGGTACGTATGGCATATCATCTTTTCTCGTTTTGCTTACTCCGTTGCCATTTTCGTTACGTTAAGAGTACACAAATTGCGATTTTTCGTTCAGGTTTTAAGTTTGCGAACACGTCGTGCTGCAATGTCGATACAAGCATCGGCGGTTTATGCTTGCCGAACTCCAAGTTGTGCAAGGAACGCAAAGATTATGTATTTTGGGATGCTATCCATCCATCAGACGCAGCAAATGAAGTGCTGGCTCAGAAGCTTTTCGACTCCTTATCAGCTTCTGCAATGGCTCCTTCCCTTCCACTAGAGCCACACTAATTAGTTCCTCGAACAATGTTCAGACGAGAACGCAGCATTCTGGTGCCAGAACAAAAACATGTTGCAGACAGAATGTACTATTTTGTGAAAAATGTTATGGTAAATTGAAACGTTCAATGAGTGCAACATTCAAGTTCTAATCAAAAGTAATCGGGACGATCAGCGTACTTCGAATTCGAAATAACCCGAATCCGGTTTCTCCATTTTACTTTGTACACAATTCAATAAGCCACCAACACTACTACGTAAAACTGGGGGGGGGGGACTCTCTTAACTCTCAAAATACACACAAGAAAATTGCACTCCTTAGCATGACTTTGATCAACACTAAAATGCCAGTGAAACCTCCCCTGTCGTAAAACCTGGGACCGGATGAATCGGAACTAACAGAATTCATCGATGGCGTCGTGATATTTACCATGGTTCCATTCCTGCCTGGAAAAGTACAAGAACCATGACCTGCAACAAGCAAAGCTAATGTTAATTTTTCTTCCAATGAAAAACTGGTGGATTAACAAAGTAAGCACAAGCTTTGTATATATTACTTGGATCTGTCGTTGTAATATCCGCAACACCGTTGAAATCGCATGCGTCGGAAGTCTTCCCCATTCGGTGATAGTACGTGTTGAATGCATACGTTGCGTGTGCGATCACGTTATCGGGCTCGTAACACGGTTTTCCTTGCAACAACGGCGAGCAATCCACCTTGCCAGGTCCACAGGCCCAATCTAGTGCGGCCTGCAACATCTTCTGATCAGCACCATCCTTTGCAGTACAATAAGTTTGGTTAGTAGTATCGTTTGCTAGCAGCGACCCCGACCCCGTCAAGCGTAATATATAAACAGGGTCACCATTCGCCTCGAACAATCCCCAATTCTTCTCCGAGGTTGGCCCTGGTTTCATGTCCTCGTTATAGAGCTCATAGATGTAAGTACTAACAGCAATGCCAGGGTGCTTAGGAGTTCCAGTTTTGTTCATCACGCGGCGGATCAAGTTGCTGTTGTAAGTGTTGGCATTCTCCATCGTCGCATCCGGCTCTTTCGAATCACCTTTCGATGGCCAGCCCGTTTCTGTCACTGTAACAGGAATGTTGGTGAAGTTTAGGAAATCCATGGCAAAGTATGTGGCATCAACTGTTGCATCAAAGACATTTGTATAGTGGACAAGCGTGTTCGAATCGATGGCTTCCATTTTCGGTGTAAGAGGCTTGAAAAGCGCATAGTCTAGCGGAATGGCACCATTTGATTGCATATAGTCATAGTAAGGATACATGTTGAGCATGAGAAATGAGCCTGTAGACTGCAGGAAATCGAGCATAGGGACCAAAACCGGATTCCACGACCGGTTGAAGAAGGCCTGCGAAGGCGGGAACGGATCGAGGATCACGGTGGACGAAAGGGGCGATGAAACTTTGATTCTCTTATCCAAATTAGATGCCGCAAGGGCCGAGTGAACGAACTTAATGGCGTTAACCAGGACAGGCCCAGCATTCGGAAGTGCAGTCAAAACTTCAGAACCAACACAAATTGCCGTGATGTTGGTTGCAGGATAATGTGCTACAACGTTCCGGGTGACCCAATTAGCCGCGGTCGAATTCGATTGGCCGATGCCGAGTAGCTGCTCGTTGGGGATGGTGACCATGACCCGAATGCCGGTGTCGGCAAGAGCAACAAGCATGGCTTGGTCGGCATTGTAGAGCCTAACATGTCTGATTTGCTGAGCTTTAAGAAGAGCAACTACTTGTGTTGGGTGTGGCATGTCTGATAGGTCTGTCCCTATATTCACACCAATGTATGGATCTGCAGAACGATTATTTCACTAATTTTGACATCATATCTTAAAAGAACTTATCGAAGATAGAGGAAAGTAGAAGAGAAACACAAAAACAATTTTACCTTCACCTGCTGTTGCTTGAGAAACTTCTAAAAGGAGGAAAAGAAGAAGAAGCAAAGCCATAGCAAACGCACCTTCCAAAAGATTCTGGTTAAACAAAAAAGACCTGAGAGCAAAAGAAAAGAGTGAGATGTGGAAGAAAATGGCAACAATTAACTATAAAGGCTGTGGCTTTCAAACGTTCAAGTGGTTAAAAACCAAAGTGCGGTAAAGCTAGGCGAAGAAGAAGACATAAATGACTCATTGAGCTGTATGCAATAAATTATAGAGTAAATTACAAATTACATAACCGAACTTTACTTTCTATCCTATTTCATTCAACATACTTTAAATAATTTCAATTTTTTCACTAAACTTATACATTGGGTTTTTTTGGTCACCCATTAACAATATTATAAATGGGCTTTTATATATATTCAAAACGACGTCATTTTTATAAAAAAATTGCTTTCTTAAAATGATGTCATTTTAGCGCCGTTAACTATTTAACGGCAGGGTGACAAAAAAATCTATTGTATTAAGTTCAGTGAGAAAATTGAAAACTTTCAAAGTTCAGTGAACAAAATAGGAGAGAATAAAGGTTAGTGATGAAATTTATAATTTACCCTAATCTGAATAAGACATCATCTGCAACATGTTGGACAGTTGCAGCAAATAATGGACCGCATCTTTTAAGGTTTTCTTTGTCGAGAACCCTAAACCCAAGACAAAGGTATCTTTTTTTTCCCAAGTTCAAAAAAGGGCACCTTTTCTCCTCTTTGTTTTTATGATTTGCTTTCATTACGTTGGATTTAGCCGTTACAAGTTGAACTTATTTATGCTACATTATTCACATATATTAGGGTTATGGGTACGGTTAAACAACAAAATCGAGATTTTTTTTTTAAAAAAATTGTAAAATCAAATTAAATCGAACTAAAAATGAAATTATAGTTTTCATATTATTCATTTTAAGTTTCAATTTTATTTTTTAGAAAGAATAAAATACGGTTCAATTTATTCTTCGATAAGAAGATTGAACTAAATCGAATACAATTTTATTTTAAGATTTAAAATTCAGGGTTTAGGGTCGTAATAGTAAAGTTACGGGGCTTAGATACAAACAAAGATCACTATTGGTTGTGGGAGTGGGAGGCAACCAAGGTAAAACCATTTGGTCTCAACGGTCATATTCTTCTCTCATTTATAATTATTTTGGGTAAACTACTTATTTGATCACTCACCTATCACTTAGTTTATGGTTTGATCACCAACTATTATTTTTTTCAAAATCATATATAGCTTTACATTTTGTTTCTATTTTGATCACCAATCGTAAAAAAGTTAATGGTGATGCTGACGTGATATTTTTTTGAGAAAATAACCTCAGTGACCAAAAATCCCATATAATATACGATTTTAATAAACTTTTTCTGGATTTGTCAAAATGACCAACAAAATCGCAATGCGATCGCTAATTCGCAATGCGATCTCCATTATCGCAAATCAGTTTCCAGATTCGCAACGCGATTATGACTATCGCAATGCGATTTTCCAATTTCGCGTTGCGATTTTCCCAATTCGCAATGCGAATAAGTAAATCGCAACGCGAATTCGGAAAATCGCAATGCGATACTGACTATCGCAACGCGATAATACAAAATCGCAACACGATACTGACTTTCGCAACGCGATACTGACTTTTGCAACGCGATTCTGACTTTCGCAACGCGATTATGACTTTCGCAACGAGATTCTGACTATCGCAACGAGATAATACAGAATCGCAATGCGATTTTCAAAGTTCGCAACAGGTTTTAGTTTCGCAACATCCTTCTGAGTGGGACATACCAGATGACTTACAAACAGTTTTGCCATCAGCCATGGACAGAAGGCTACCTGGCCGACCAAAAAGTCACGATCGTATACCGTCTAAGGGTGAAGAGAAGAATAGATCGACATGTAGTCGGTGCAAGGAAAGTGGTCATACAAGGTTGACATGTGGTTCACCAGTGCCATCACAATCATCTTTTCCTCTACCAAAATATGGATCCTCATCAAAATCCAAAGCTCATATGGTGTCAAGCAAAAGGCAATCAAAATCGCAACCATCTTCAAAATCCCAATCACAACCGGCTTCACCTTTTGGGACTGTTAACTTAGGTGATTTTTAAATGCAAACGTTGTATTATGTGTATTTTATGTGTGCACTTTTAACATTTTCAGTTAGGCATGTATTAGTAACTTGAGTTTGAACATTGCTATGATCTGTTCAGTTATTATCACTTATTAGACATTCATTTGACTATCGCAACGGGGAAATCGCGACGGGAAAATGACTATCGCAACGCGAAAATGGCTATCGCAACGCGAAAATGGCTATCGCAACGATAAAATCGCAATGCGAAATGAAAATCGCATTACGATTTTCTAGTTGCGATTTTCATTTCGCATTGCGATTTTCATTTCGTATTGCGATTTTCATTTCGCATTGCGATTTTCATTTCGCATTACGATTCTCTCGTTGCGATAGTCAGTTTCGTGTTGCGATAGTCTGTTTTGCCTTCAACATAATGCAAATTGAAAATCAACAAATCAACTATTACATTTCAATCAATTAAACAAGCACAAATAAGAATTATGTACACATCAATTAAACAAATCAACATTTACAAATCATTTTTTACAAATCAATTAAACAATCAAAAAATAATAATAATTCTTATTTCCTCATCAATTATTGAATCAATGAATCAACTTTTGCACCCGTACATCCATTTCACACAGCTCACTTAAGGATTAACCTGCAGAACCAAACATTTGCTCAAACAAGACTTCCTACACATCTAAAACCTACAAACAGCAAATTATTGAATTCTAGGTACTTAACCAAACATTTTCAAACCAAAAGGAGTATATATGTTAACAAAACTTGCATTTGACTTACCAATTAACAATGGATACTTTCATAACGCGGATGCAGGTAGGCAGCGTCTCGAATATATCGCTCTAGCCATATAATGCCAAAACCACAAGCCTACTGCAGCTCTATCTCTATCGGTGGGAGGTAGAAACTCTGTGCTTCCCATCGTCAAACGCGCCAAGCACATGCATACGAGAGGACCACAATCCCCTCTGGCTCCCGGTGATTGTTGTGGCGCGGTCTTGTCTCTGACAACTGTGACATTGAACTTCTTTGGCTTCTTGTGTCCAGAATGAGTCCAATAATTAATCTCATCCAAGAATTTAGCCAAATGAGAGCTCCATCCTTTGATAATATCTCTCAAATCAGACAGTGATATGTAATTTATCATGCTGTCATATACTATTATCTTCAGGGATAGGAGCTGAAGTTGGACGAGAAGCCAATGACGACGTTCCAAAATAGAGATAAACACCTGCAATCATAAGTAATAATTCATTTATTTGCGCACTTATTTATGAACACCTTTAAAAAATTTAAAAAATAAACACTAACCTTATCGACCTCCCACCATGCAGGATAAAGTTTAGCTTGTCCATTGCCCAACGAAAATGATTCATCTCGTTGATTCTTCAAGTGAACTGCGTGAAAAGCCGCCGGCATTATTGTATATCGCAATTTTTTTTATTTTTCCTAAGCTTCCTTATTATTAGAAGATGTGACACCCAAGCATCGATATGCTGTTTTACAAAAAAAGACATATATTAGTGAATTACATTAATTTTTAAAAAAATTAATCAAAATCATATATAAGACAAATATAAGACTTACCTCCCCATTGAAATAGCCACTGTCTTCAACCCCTAATAACACACCCCACCAAGACCGATTAAGCAACAAATACATCTCATCGTTGAGTTTGCTTATGTCAGTGTAACACCCTTGACTCCGCTCATGTAGATAAAATTCAACTGCAGTCTTAGCCCAAAGGGTATTATCCAGAATTGTTTCCAGTAGTTGTCTCCTCTCCACTTCAGATACCGGAAGGGTACTAGCCGGTAACTCATACGAGAGCCAACTCTCATCCATCATGTCCGGCAACGGTGGGGGTTTCTCAATAATTCGATATATTACCCCATGTGAATCGGGCTCTGGAATGGTGGGAGGGACCTCTTCAACGATGACAGTGGCCTCTTGAACGGTGGGGGGGACTCTTGAGGGATGATAGGGGCTTCTTGAACGATTGGAGGGGACTCTTAAGGGATGACAGGTGAGTCGGGCTTCTTCTTGCGGAGTCTTCGCACCATTGAGGTGAACAGAGACGTAATAGCACGTGCACGCCGTCTGATGCGTGAACTCCGTCGTGCAAGGAAAACCCGACGTAAAGCATCCACCTTATCAGGCCGCTAAAAAAAATTAATACATAAATCAGTAAATAAACAGACATGATATTAAACAAAGACAAATATGTTTCAAACTTGCATTGTATTCACCCAAGTCATTATTCTATCATAGTTCACAAAATGCATCAGATAACATTCCAGAAGTAAGCACTTATATAAACATTTAAAAGGACAACATATATAAACATTCCAGAAGAAGAATAGTTTACTTTCGCAATACGAAACTTACTTTCGCAACGCGAAAATGATTATCGCAACGCGGAAATGTCTATCGCAACGCGGAAATGGCTATCGCAATGCGAAATGAAAATCGCAACGACAAAATCGCAATGCGAAATGAAAATCGCAACGCGAAACACAAATCGCATTGCGATTTTCATTTCGCGTTGCGATTTTGTCGTTGCGATTTTCATTTCGCATTGCGATTTTATCGTTGCGATTTTCATTTCGCATTGCGATAGCCATTTTCGCGTTGCGATAGTCATTTTCGTGTTGCGAAAGTAAACTATTCTTTTTCTGCAAATTGAAACTTGAATGGATTGCATTACTTCAACCAAAAGACAAAAACAAAACCAAAAACAAATACTAACAAAAACAGTTTAGCAGTATTGGCAGCAACCGAATGAATTTATTAAGCAATCTAAGTGAAATTGTTAATCTAAGTGAAATTACGAGTAAATTTATCATCAAGTTAAATATGAAAAATCTTAAACTTACCTCGTTGCGTAGAGTAGAACCTCATTCTGCAACGATGCTACCATCTCACGTAGAGCGGCTACCTCACCGCGTAAAGTAGACACCTCAACACGCCATGCACCATCGTCTTTGCG